GTTCTAGTGTTCAGGAATCAATTAGTGTATGTACCATAGCTAGAGAATTGAAAACTTGGAAGATATTTCTTCACAGATGTTTGCTCCATACAATGGGAAGAGGTAAGTTAAACAGCCCAGATTGTATGAGACCAGTAACGAAATGTATCCTTCATCTTTTCAAGTTGCGGGGTGCAGAAGTTTTTCGTATGACCTCAACGGCTGTTCGACTCCAAAATTTAAACTGTCAATTTTACTGCAATCTGAATGATGCGTGATATCGTACCTTTTGAGATTAATCAACTACCTACACTGTAGTATGCGATGAGTATTGGCTTCGCCGTTTCTCTCAAGCATTAGCCTCTCTTTCGGATTTTCAGAATTGTAAATTTCAAAAAAAAGTGCGCAGGGCTTTACAAAATGCAACGCGATTCAGAATGACAGAACGATCATTACAGACATTGATATTATGAAATATGTAAGTCTTCTCACATCCTATAAAGCATTAACAACTTAGTTTCTCACATTCTCTTAAGGAGACACATGTTCAATAAATTTGAATTTATGCACTTATACATTGTAGATGCATCATTTTTGAATCATGACTCACTTAATACAATCTACGCAATTCTAGTGAGAGCATCCAATCAACTCTCTTTGGCGGACTCATACTATTCTCGAAATTGGAAAAAAATGGGAGTGGTAAGCGTGCTAGAATTTTTTGAAACCTTGTTTAGACAATATCTTTTTTTCTTGTAAACATTAAAAAAGGAGAGTGGAGGACAGGTACCAGACTGAGATTAGGAAAGAGCAGAAGTTGACTACAGCGTGTCGGGGATCTGTTAGCATACTGAAGACAAAATGATGCACAAGAACACCAAAAATGTAATATATCGAATAATTTTTAGATTTAAAGGGCCCTTGCATCAGCGACAAATAAAAGCAGAGCTTTCATGCTTCTTAGAAACTTCGGCTTTAATAACGCCTCCAAACGATGTAAATCTAGATTGACCTAAAGAGGCAGAAGAGCACAGTGTTTGATTTGATTGAGTTGATGTACTTTTGAATTTTGTGTAAGTATGCTATAGTCAAGAACTTCTCTTTT